TAATAATAATACTAATACATAATGATAATAATAATTATAAATAATAATTGATAATAATAATAACAATGATAATAATAACAATAATAATTCAAAATAATTTATTATGAAAATGATAATAATATTGGTGGTGCGTTAGCTAAAAATGTTACTTTAGCATCCATTCAAAATTTTACTACAAAATGTCATAATATTTTCTTAATTTTTATGTATTCATAATTTATACTAATAATCTTAACTAGCCTGAAATTTTGCCTAAAATAGACAGTGTTCCTTCGTGGAACACAAACTATTACAGTGAATTATTCTAAACAAAAGCGTATAAATTGTAGTGAAAAGAAAGATGTAACTTTAATTTGAAGCAAAACGGATTAAGAAAGAAAGCAAAAGGCTCATTACAGTGTTGAGATAGTGAATATCAATCCCGAGAACGAGCCAGAATGGTTTTTAAAGAAAAGTCCTCTCGGTCGAATTCCTGCTTTTGAGATGAACAGTTCAGTAAGTTGCAGTTGAGCAAATCATTTCCAAAACTGTCTATTGCTTTGATTTCTGTACAAAATTCTTATTTTTACATGTCAGTATTCATGAAATCTATCAGATATCTTGAGGAAGGGACTTCTGAGATGACCGTATCTGAATCATCATCTATACTCTTCTGTGAACTTTTATTACAAAGTACTCTGAACATCAGAAAAAGTTTTTCTAATCATTCTATTTTACAACAAAATACATAATTTGTAGACTATCTATGAATCATCAGTGATCGTAGAATATCTCGATGAAGTATTTCCCGATACAGCCATACTTCCTCAAAATCCATTAGCAAAAGCTAAGCAAAAAATCCTTGTTGAAAGAATGAAACCGGTAGTTTATTGCTATAATAATGAGATCAAGCAAGCTGTGTATGATTTTATTTAATGTATCAAAAAAACGAACTTTATTTAATGAAAAATTTACTTGCAAATAATTCATAAGCAAATTTATGCAAGTAAAAAAAATTGCATTGTTAGAGTTGTTTGTACAGTTTGCTTCTGCTTGAAATATGCAAATTGCTGGCAGTGATCATCTGGCAGATTTCAGCTTGTCTCCACAATGTTCACAATCCTTCAACCTAACAATGCCACTGTTCAAAGTAATGTTGACAAATCTTTGCACAATGCTCTACACAACGCCAATGATCTCTTACTCGATGACTTTTTTGCAGGTCAACAAACTTCTTAATTTTCATGTTATTACAATCTAGTGAATTAAATAATGATTATATTTCATGTCATAATTACAAAAAATAAATTACACATATGTGACCTTTACAATTACATTTTAATCTGAAACTTATTTGTACCAAATATCATGATATTTAATTACCATATTTCCATCGAAAAAATAACATGAAAATAATGCAGGAAGAACAATGGGCTATGCTGATATTATGATTTGGCCTTTCCTTGAAAGATCTCAGCTTGTTACAATTAATCCTTTTACGCAGTTTAGGTAATATTTGTCAGTAATGCAGCAGTAAACTTTGAAATTTTCAAAATTTATTTTTCAGTTGTTAGTTTTTATAGGAAAAATAACTGCAGCGTTCTTGTTGTCTATGTAATGCACATTTGGCGAGATTTTTGCTACCAATTTTGATGTTTTGTATTTGTTCAAAAAATACTTTTAGGTACTTCCCAGGTGTGAACTACCCCAAAATCGGTGCATATATGGCTCGAATGCAGCGACAACCTGAGGTAATGAGCCATCTCTCAGCTTGTAAAGTAAATGAGTAGCCAAACAAAACGGTTCAACTTATGTTTGTCAAGCAAACCAAGCCAACGCATTTTAGTTCCAAATGAAAGAATTACTTTAAATACTTTGCAAGTGCATATTTCCTTACAATAATATTTTACGAACGCTTCTCAAAAAAAGATTTGCTAACAAAAAACAAAACAAAAATGAGCTTATTTTCAAACAGGCAACTGATTTTACCATTCATTCTTTGGACTAATAGACTACACAATGACTTTAAATGATAATTAACTGATTTTCAAAGTGATCAAATGTTTCACAAATTATTGCATAAATTTTCAATAGCTATTTTCTTAGCTTTTCAGATAAAACTTGCTCAACGTTCGATTTCGCAGCACGCAGCATACTTGCGCAGTTTGCTGCGAGGTGAGCCAAATTATGATATTGGCATTGATCGATCATATCAGTCATGAAGCTAATCCCTTCTCATTCTAGTGCTAAAATGCTGATTAATAAATTTTTGATTAATAACTTTGTTTATAATTTGAAATTGAGAAGAATTCTTTGCAGTCTTACTTGTTCATTACTTAGCAAGTAGCTTTTTTGCTTAATTATCGCAAGTAAATAACATGGCAAATTACTGAGTGAGTAATCTTTTCATTTCTGTATTCTCAATTTTTTATCCTTTGCTATGCTAAATGTTTATTTCTTTCCTCAAAAATAATTCTTAATATACTTTTTTGAAAATATTTAATTGCTATAAACCTGCATTGCTAAATCAAATATATTCTTATTCTGTACAGATTTTATTTTTCAGTGTTATCATTCTGGCTAGAATAGCTTAGCTGTACTGACTTGTCTACATATTACTTTCTGATTGCTTTCTTAATTAGATGAAACTTTGAGTATTTAATTAATTTGTTAATTGATTCCAACTTCTGCAACAATATTTTCTTGTTCTTCTCGTCTTTCCTCCGCTCTTTGCTGACGAATATTTCTTTCTGCATCAAAATACCGAATATATTCAATATCATAAATAATTGTGAGTGCCAAATACATGAATACAATACACTGGCAAGTTAATAGACCGTTTAGCAGTGCAGTAATGACTAAAAAGTATTAAGAGTTAAATAAAAATCTAAGAGTATTAGACCATCGCAAAGAGTATTAGACAACAGATAATTAAATTATTTTCACGTATTATTTAAATTTATTGCAAAATAATATAGTAATACTTTTTTTCAGTTTTAAATAATTTTGTAGAATTTTGTGCAAAACAAAGATGAAATTAATGCATGCCATATCTCAGATATGAATCAAATACTTCGTCCACATCTTTCAAATGGTCAATAGATATTGGAGACGTATGTCGAATCATCACGTAGAAGCTCAGCAATGAAAGAAATAGAAAAAATATCAACTATAATATGAAATTATCAATAAAATTTTCGGAAATATTCAGAGTGAAAGTTTTAGCGCTATTAAAGCATTTTCAAAAAGAAACTGCAATTATATTAACTTATTCAAATAGTTTACGTGTTTCCACTTTGGCTCTCAAATTTAGTGAGTTGCAGTTAAATAATAATAATATTTTTGTGAATAAAAGTAAATGAAACAAGTGGTAATAACTAATATTCTTGAATAAAAGCTACTGCAGGAATATTTTAATTCAGTTGCAATTTTGAATTTATCGGTCAGCTTAATTATGAGTAAATAATGAACTAAAAATAAAAAATAATTTTTAAAAATTATTACTTATAAATAGCGAAAAAACAAAGTTAAACTTTCAACGTAGAATGTAGCAAAAATGCTTAGTAGCGTAGATTCTTAGGAATTAATAGCAAATTACGAGATTAATTTTATCACCTTAAAAGCAATAAATGGCACTAATAAGTAACGATTGTTCCGATGATAAGCGGCATAGACACAAAAACAGCATAAAATGCTTGCAAATGCTATCCAGAATACCACGTTACGCAGAGGTGCTTGCGTGAAAAATGCTGATAAACATAGCGGTGCGCAAAATCCTGGCGTTAATCTTGCCGACCATCGAAACTATATAATTAAGCTATTCACATTAGTAAATTTTTCTCAAGAAGTACGCATAAATCTCTTTACTCTATGCTGAAAAGTGAATTAACGGGCATTGACAAAAATGTGTACTGCAGTCCAAAACAGTCAAAAGCAGAAAAAACCAGAGCTAAATAACGATTTTGATTCAAAATTGGCTAAATTGCCTTTCTGAAATGCAGTAAGTTCACTTTCGAACTGTTCAGATTTGACAATAAATTAACAATGAGCAATCACGTCACGTCCTTTAACCTTTTTTTAATTATAGGATTATACTTACAATGCATTCGTATGTTTCAAGTCCTTGCAGCATAATAGCTACAAAACATTCAGAAAATCAAAATAATAGATAATCTGAAGTAATTTATAATGCTTTTCATGTTCCAAAACTTCAAAATAAACCTAGCAAACATTATCGATGCAGGCATATAAAATAGTATTAAAACAATATAATACACTGTATTGGATGAAAGTTTCTAACAGTGAGTACACTGAAGAAATAGTTCGCTAGCAAAATATTCATCTGAAACGATCGTAAGTATCAGTCTCACCAGGTTGCCTCTGATAACTTTTTTTTCTTTTTTTTGATAATGCAATGCAGCCTAACCAGTTGGCCAAATAGAATATTAAAAAATGGCCTAAATTTATTCAAACTTTCGATTTATAAAATTCGATTCAGTAATTTTAATCACTTATCTCACAGTTAGGAGATAAAAAATCGAACTGAATGGCAATAAATTACAATATTTTATGCACATTTAACTTTGTAGTAAAAAGACTAATTGCAAAATAAGCAATAAATATTCTTTTTCCAAACTTTGCTGATATTTACTTTCACATTTCGATGATTATTTCGAATTTCGAGAAAGCAATTCGCTGCTTGCATACTCTGCAGAGATGCTGCTGCATTGAATTTGGCTGAAGATTGTAGTAAATAACTTCGGAAGCATTAAATGTTAGTTTGCGCTCTCTTTATGCTTTTTGACTATTTATTGCTATTTTTGAGTTGTTTTTTATTAGCTTAAAAAGAGACTTTGAGTCTAAGATAGACTCGTTGGCAGTTAGGAATTGTTGACCTTCCGTGAAGTTTTCAATTTTGTGTTCGCCAATCAAAATTTTTGACCCTTGCAATCAGCTTATTAGCTTAGACTAGACTAAGAATGCAGAAAGTGAACGATTTTAGAAATAAGTCTTAGTGATGGTTTGTTTTTAGGATAACAAGTAGCTGTAGCGACATTTTTTGGCATTTTTTTCCAATTTTTCACCTTACTTCAAACTAGCTTTGTTCAATTTACACTCGAAACCAAGTGGTTTTCTTTTCTTCAACCAACTTTTCATTTTTTTTTTTGCTTTCACATTTATATGCATTATATTTTATTATTGTATTAGAATTAACTTTTTGGTTTGACCTGACCTCATTAGCACGAACTTTACCTCACTTGATGTCTGATATAAAGTTTAAAATGGGAAATACTTTAAGAAGTAACTGAACTTCTACATTTTGAATATGAACTGAAATCTACTTAGCAATTTTATCAAATAATAATGTGTGATAATGACTGCACAGATTTTAAGTGTCTGTACAATTACTTAATTTAATTTATTTTATAAAAGTTCTGCAGTGTGTGTGAGTTTGAAAAGATGAGATTTAACAGCAAGTGAATACTATGCTGTAAAGTGTTTTTTCTCGCAGTGGATCGAAACTAATCTGTATAATTTCACTTTTTATTGGTTAAATTTGCTTCACTTCACGAATGAAAGGATAAACGTTGATGTGCTCAGTTTGCAGAGTTATGATTTCAGAAGTCATCCAAAAATGTGTTTGGTTAAGACTACTGATATTTTGTAGAAATCAATCCAGCCAAATTGCTTGCAATGAATGATTGAATTCATTGCATCATTTTAAAATGATTTAGTACTCGAAGATTATGCATAACTCTAATAACCATTTAACCTTTCACCGGCACCTAAACTTAACATTTAATTTTTGATATCATTAATTTACAGTCACGTGAAAAGCAATAGCAAATGCTATTTTGACAGCATTCGTCCTTCACTTAAACTGTGCCATTTTTTGCTCACAGCACAAATGAAACTTTGATTATTGCAATTACTAACCTTTTTACTAATCTTTCTTTGCGATTTTCAGGAATAATTTTGTCTGAAATAGTTGCGCAAATCTCATAAATAGTTTAAATATCTGAAACTGTGCGGCATTTTTGATTACTTTCAAAACTAATTTATGAAAAAACTTTCAGCCTTACATACTATTTGAAGGATTGAACTGTTACTTTATTCTTGCAGTATGGCACTTCATCAGCGATCCCAGTCACTTCCAGAAGATTTTTTGGAAAATTCAGTTCATGAGTCAACCCAAAGTTATCCTATTCCTGTAAAAATTTACCCGCAAACGTAATTAGCACTTTTTTATACTTACGCACTATTATTGAGCTTCATAACTATCATCGAATTCAAAATCAAACTCTGAAAATGCAATTTATTCCCGCAAATTTTCAAGACTGCTAAAGCAAGGAATGAATAAAACTTTTGTTTGCATCTCATTCAGTGATAATTCTTTTTCAGAATTTCGGATAACGACAATTATCTTTACGAGTCAGCAGTTGAAGCATTTGTTTGGGATTGGCCATTCAGTGAGGATCGAATAGCTAAAGGATTTCTCTCGGAAGAAAAATTCTACGTTTGTCTGCCCTTCAATCAAGGTGGCACTGGGGAATCTCGAGGAACTGTCAGTTAATTCTTTCAAGATTTATTTACACCACTTAAACAGTGCTATCAGACACTAATAAATTTCACTAAATTTATGCTTTAAGAAAATGTCTTGTAAAGCATTATTTGGTGTGCAAATTCGGAAGTTACCTATAAATTTCATAGATTTCTACCATATTTTATCACATGATTACATAGTGTCAGTCTATTCATCGTTACTTTATGGTATTTGCGTACTATAACGACGAATGCAAATATTGCAAAGTGATGAAAAAAGTATGCACACAATGAATAGGCAAAAAATAAATATTGCAACAGAGTTTGCAACATTTATCATCGTTACATCCCATATGTTTGCAAATATTTCATACTCATATCAATTTGAAATGATTTATTTGAAGTATTTGTTTCGTTTATTTGAATTCATGATGTTCCTGTCAGAGTTCAAGAAAACGATCACTGCACAATTTGAATTCTTGCGCTGCAATGTTTTCTCAGACTTTTTAATCCTTCCTTTCCAAATTGTTACAAATAGTAAATTTGCTCTAAATTATCAAAAATAAATAATGAAAGAAATTTAAACAATGGTAAATTATTAAGTAGTAGTCTTGAAATAAAGATAAACCATTAACGCTTCGTCTTTCATGAAAAATAAGTTTTACTAAATTGTCAAATTTTTCAGCTCAAAAAATTTGAAAGAATCTCGCAGTCGGATTTTACTTGCATTGTAGGACTGTGTAATAATGGATTTTTTGGAACATACTTTTGGCGGTTTGAAATTGAAATTTTGAGAAATTTGAACATACTTGTACTCAGTGCTTCAAGGTAACTTTTACTTTACAATGTTTATTCGTCATATTTTTATTAGTTCTCACATAATGTAATATTCATCTGCACATTCATCGAATTTCAAGCCAGTAAGTATGAAAACTTTCAAATATTAAAAACTTTTCCAAATATAAATGACTTAAAAAAATTGACA